TATTCATTAACTCATTTGTTCTTCCATTATTCCACAGAATTTATTGAGTGCCTATTATGTTCGAGGTGCCACACTAAATTCTGATGGAAAAAGGATGAGCAAAAATAACCCCCGACTGGGTCCTTGCTCTAGCTCAGCTGTAATGACCTTGAACCACACCATAGGACCTTGGGGGTCCTGAGAGTGTACCCTGTGGGGAAAGGAGAAGAGAAAAGGGTTATGCCCATATTGTCCCAAAGGAAGAAGGGATGTTTATCTATAGAAGGTCAAATTCTAAAAGAAGCTGGAGCAGAGAGAAGAGAATGATGCTTGTACTATCCTGAGAGAAAAAGAAGTCAGATCTATGTTTTTCCTATGTGTGTAACTCCTCCAAAAAAAATTTTTTTTAAGAGATTTTCACTGTAGGGCGCGTGCGCTCGCCAGACAGACAGAGAGAGACAGAGAGACAGAAAGCGAGAAATCACCCCCCAGGGGGGATGGTCACGCCGCAATCCCTTCTCCTCCATTCTCCTCTCGGGATCTTGGGCACGCATGCACACACGCCCGGCATGAGTTTTAAGCCACCGGGTCCGGGACACGAACCACGGTCGACTATGTGGGAGTCCAGCGACATACTGAGACAAATACATGTATATTCATTAACTCATTTGTTCTTCCATTATTCCACAGAATTTATTGAGTGCCTATTATGTTCGAGGTGCCACACTAAATTCTGATGGAAAAAGGATGAGCAAAAATAACCCCCGACTGGGTCCTTGCTCTAGCTCAGCTGTAATGACCTTGAACCACACCATAGGACCTTGGGGGTCCTGAGAGTGTACCCTGTGGGGAAAGGAGAAGAGAAAAGGGTTATGCCCATATTGTCCCAAAGGAAGAAGGGATGTTTATCTATAGAAGGTCAAATTCTAAAAGAAGCTGGAGCAGAGAGAAGAGAATGATGCTTGTACTATCCTGAGAGAAAAAGAAGTCAGATCTATGTTTTTCCTATGTGTGTAACTCCTCCAAAAAAAATTTTTTTTAAGAGATTTTCACTGTAGGGCGCGTGCGCTCGCCAGACAGACAGAGAGAGACAGAGAGACAGAAAGCGAGAAATCACCCCCCAGGGGGGATGGTCACGCCGCAATCCCTTCTCCTCCATTCTCCTCTCGGGATCTTGGGCACGCATGCACACACGCCCGGCATGAGTTTTAAGCCACCGGGTCCGGGACACGAACCACGGTCGACTATGTGGGAGTCCAGCGACATAGCCATTACGTTAACTGCTGGTTCCCACTCCTCCAAAAAAAATTTAAACAGAAACCCAGAGTGGCAGAATTTCACCACTTAGGTAGGTATAGTAAAACAAGGAACAGGGTGCCTCTCCCATTCACCACACTACTTAATAGAGTTGAATCAGATTATAAGCTCTATAGGAGCAGAGACTGTCCATTTTGTCCACCACTGTACCCCTAGGGCCCACTATAGGGTGGACAAACTGGCCCAGTCAAGATATTCAGCAAATAGTTACTGGAAGAATGAATGAACTGAAGATGGCAACCACTCTCTGCTCATCATTTTTCTTGATTCACAAAACAAACAAACAAACAAAAAACAGAAAAACTCCTTTATCTCTATTGACCCTCCCCACATTCCCCAAAGCAAGAAGAAGGCAAGTCAAATCCTTCATCTTAAGTTTTGAGATGCTGAAAATCATCTTGACCAACCCATCACCTCCAGGCTGCCTCTCCCAGCTCAGCTCAAGACTGCTTAGTTAGGAAAATTTTTCTGCTAGCCAGAAGTAACATCCTACAATTAGAGATTCTGTCCAGTTCATGTACTCCAGATATTGAACTAATTTTTGACAAGGTCCTAATGCAGGAAGCAGAATTCCTAGCAGGTGTTCCCATCAAGAAACACCCTGCACAATCATATTAGTGTAGGGTTTTTATCCAGAGGCCAAACACCAAGCCCACTCTCTTTGAACAGAGAGTTTAGATGTCTTAGAGTGGAAATTAAAAGAGTAAAGAAGAAAAATAAGACATAATGAGTAGGGGAATCAGGATAGACAGACATAAGGCTGGCTCCAAGGTGCACACAGAGAAAGCCAGATCCCACATTGACAACAGTGGTTCAAATCTTAGCACTGGCAGCTTGAAAAACATGACAGGCATGTGTGCCCCAAATCCTGGTAAGATGGAGAAATGAAAGAAAAGTGATTGCAGCATACCCATGCCTCACTGAGAGGGGTGAGGGTATCTCTCTGTCTCTCTCTCAATTGCACACACCCTACGGGGGGAAGAGGGGAATAACCATACACACTCACACCTATATTCTGTCTGTTTTCATCTCCATTCAGTACCCAGTTCTGAGATAATCATGTCTACCTCCTTATTCCCAGACTAAACAATCACTTTCCACCCTAGCCTATGAAGGGGAGAGAGAGCGGGTTATATTTCCATTTTAAAAGGAAACACACCTCTTTTGCATCTTCAGAAACTACCTGACCCAGCGAGCTGGAGAACTTTGTCCTCTTACCCAGTAAAAGCCCTTTTAGTTCCCGTCATCTGATTATCAAAGCCTCCCCAATATTCAAACAAGGTCAAATCTAGTAAACCATAAAGTTGGTATCTACCTTGATAATCAAGATCTTTCTCTGCTTTGAAAAAATATGACTGAGAATCTATTCCTCGTTATTAATAATCAGAAAATAGTACTTTTCTGGTAAATAATCACAAGGAGCTAGCATTGGTGCTTTTCTTTTAAAGAAGTGTTTGCCTTAGGGTGCTTGCCAGAGAGACAGAGACAGTGAGAGGGAAACTGAGAAATCACCCCCTCCAGGGGGAATGGCCATGCCACAATCCCTTCTCCTCTCAGGATCTTGGGCATGAACGCACACATGCCAAGTGTAATTCTCAAGCCAGCAAGTCCAGGACTCGAACCACAGTCGGCCATGTGGAAGTCCAGCAATGTAGCCACTATGCTATCCACTGGCTCCATAGCTAGCATTCTTAAGGACCATACTGCTGAAGTGAGAGAAAATCAGAAGATTCTAATCAATAAGATGGTGATCCTTGTCCACCACAATCTCATGTAAGGATACCTCATCTAAAGGCACTCTGGAGAGAGAGCTATGTCTACTTCCCTTTCTCTCCAGGTTTCAGTGCCTCCCTCTGGGGTCTTCCTCCACCACTGAGCACTTCTCACACTAAAGAGGAAACAACAATTTTTTTTCAGGAAAGACTTTTGGTTAGAAAGATGTGAGAGGCAGTGAAACGGGTAAAAAATATAAATAAATAAATAAATAAATAAATAAATAAATAAATAAACAAACACACACTCTTTATCCCTGTTATTCCTTTTCCTGAATGGAGGAAATGTTAAGTGTATGATGAGCCACTAGTGCGATAGGGACGCCATCCTGAGACACCTTGAGTTCTGCCATTTATAGACCTGAGGCCCCCTATTTGCCTTTTGACCACTTCTTTACTTGCCCTCTCTGCAGCTTAGTTATCATTAACAGAGCATCGTTTTCTATCAAGAATCACCCAGTGCCCCTCCCAGCAAAAATCAATTCAATCCGGTTTTCCATTTCTTCATCCCAGAACTCATTCCAAGGCTGCGCTTCACAGAGCCTGGCAAATTGCATTGGCCAGAGGCAGCGAGAGAGAGAGATTGGGAAGCACATTTGGATTCCAAGCCTTGTTGCCCACTCTGCCTCAGTTCTCCCTAAAGCCCCTCTGAGCACTCACATATAAATCAGACCCACCTGCCCAATATAAAGGTGTTGTCCTACCACCACTGATGAAGTATTTAAAGAGAAAAAAAAAAAAGAAACACCATAAACATCTACCTACTCACCATCCCCACCTCTTCCTCTACCAGAACCCAGAAATAGTGCTCATTATTGAAAATATTGAGGAGGAATTGGGTCCAGGAGTTATGTTTACTGTATTTCCTCATCTATCTCATGGTTTATTTCCTGGGGCCGTGTGGAGTCAACGCAGGGAAAGGGGCATCATCTCTTGTTCTCTGATTAAGAATCAACAGACTATGGAGATTAGCCAACGGCAGTAGCTGACTAGGAGATAAACATGGTGCATGGCTTGTCTTTGACTCAATCTTCTCCAAGGAGCAGGAAAAAAAAGTTCCTTTCTTCCCCTGGGACTGGCATATGGGACCCATGAGTCCTTCCTTTCCCCACTTATTGCTCCCCACATGCCCTGGTCCTGCAACAATAAGAAAATATGCCTATTTATGCTTAGAGACCCCAGGAAACTGTTTATAAACAAAAATGCTTTGAGTAAACCAGTTACCTTGTCCCTGTTAATTGATCTTTCTCACCCCTAATCCCTCCTCCAGCTCCCAAGTGGGGGCTCCATCCTTCCTTCTCCAGACCACAGGTGTGTGGGCAGAGGGCCACCTTCTCCTCTAGATTCCAGGTGGGTTCCCCTCATCGCTAACATGCACAGTGAGTTTCTGGGCCCCAAGAAAGATGAAAGAAGAGTAGCTCGGATATCTTAAACTCCTTGTAAAATGCAGGAGGCAGAAGCTACCAATCCCAAATGATATAGATACCTATGACCCACAGGTTGGCATCAGTATTCCCTTGCACTATACCTGCTGTGTGCAATTGCTCTGCACACCTCTATGACCCATGGACACCCATGCACACACATGCAATGTCTCACATCTGCACAGCCCTACACATGGATATGTGTGAGTCAGCCTGGCATCTCCTGAATGCTGCCCCTATGCAGCCCTGCCACACTGCACATACTGTGCAGCCTCTCTGCGCTGCGTGTGTCACCAGGGGTCCACAAGGCACAGGCAAATCCTTAGCTTTGCAACTCCAACCAGCCGGCTTGCTCCGCACATGCCTTGCACATGGGGTCTGGCCACGCGTGTCAGGGTCGTGTTTACTCGCACTTGCCAACATGTGTGCCCAAAGAATTTACCAATCCGGCCCCAGCTATACCCCCTCCTCCAGACTCCCTTTCCCCCTTTCTCAGCTGGGGACTCACAGAGACCGAAGCTTAATCCACATCTTCTTGCTGGGGGCTGACTTCAGCTCCAGGGGTGACGGGCAATCGGACTCCAGCATCTCTGGAGGACTGCGGGGGGACAGCTCCATGCTCAGCCACAGTCTGTGAAACACAGAGGAGACAGCACCTCGACTCAGCTTCAGCCTCTAGCCGAGAGACCCTCGCCCCCCCATCCCAGGCCCTTCCCACCTGCGGCTGGCGTGGA